AAATTAGTGGGGCAAAAAAAATACTGTGCGTTCAAGTCCTCCTGGGAAGTTTATGAGTGGGGAAGTTGTAATTACGATGTCAGATACATTCAAATCACATTGGTCAGAACAAGATGGCGATGTACCTTTTCTACAAAAAACACAGCAAGGTTTTTTAACTCTACTTCTACAAAATGAAGAATGCATATCAGATGTTTTTACTTCACTGAATATATGAAGGTGCTGTAAACGGAATTGTTAAATATTCATAATTGCGCAAAACAATGGTATTTTGTACATGCAGCTTAGCTAGTTTTATTGTAAATAAAAAAGAATTTGATACATTTAACAAATTTACCATCAACTACAAACTTTTCTCACTTTCACACCCCCAACACAGAAACTCTGGGCTCAAAGAAAATTCAGTTTCCCCACTCGTAATTAGGACTTTGTGGTGCCATTCACATGCTATCAACTCCTTAATATAATCTATCCGACATGACTTGAATGTGCCATTACACTTTTTTCATTTAACATATATGTTTGCGCAAATCTGGCAGTAATAAACCTTAGTATCCAAAAAGGAGCTATTTAAAGCTTAATGAAAATTACGTCATCATTTACTCAACTTCACGCTAAACTCTTAAAAATAAAGGTTCAAAAGGTTCTTCAAGTGATGCCATAAAAGAACCATTTTTGGTTCCACAAAGAACCATTCAGTCAAAGGTTCTTTAAAGAACCATCTCTTTCTTACCTTTTTGTAATCTGAAGAACCTTTTTTCACCACAAAGAACCTTTTGTGAAACAGAAAGGTTCTTCAGATGTTAAAGGTTCTTTATGGAACCATTTAGACAAAAAGGTTCTTCTATGGCATCGTGAAGCACCTTTATTTTTAAGAGTGTATTTCAAACCTGTATGACTGACTTTCTACTGTAGAACATAGAAGAAGATATTTTGAGATATGTCTTAAGTGTTTTTTTTTTTGTCCATACAATGGAAGTCAATGGTAACCAAAACTGTTTGCTTAGCAATATTTTTCAAATTCAAATTCAAACAGATTTGAAACGTCAAGACGGTAAATAAATGACAGAATTTTCATTTTTGGGTGCTAAATCCCTTTAAACTGTATTTTTATTTTAAAACTGTATTTGAGTTGTTAATATGTCTATAATATGTCCTGAAGGAGAAAACTGACTGTAGAAGTTTGAACTTGCATTCCAGGATTCATTCATTGATGCGTGAAATCGAGTTGCTAGAAGCATTAGCGTTAATATACTTGCATAGAGTATATTTCAGATTTGAATCTACAGAGTACAGCAGACAAAATGCTGTTCAGTTCAGTGCTTTGATGTGAACGGGTGCTGCGTGAGATTGAAGTGGTGCAAACATCAATACCGGCCCATGGTTTGACAGATCTTGAACTTGTCTCCAGCACTTTAGCGGTTGGCCAATAGTAAAGACATTTCCAATCGATCTGATTAACAGCATTACATTCCCAATGCTTGCTCTTTTTACAAGCACAATATACCTGCATATATTCTCTTTATTAAACCATTTTGAAATGTAGAGCACATTTTTCTGGCATTATTGAAAGCGTTGGTTAGGTGAGTGAATTCAGAGAAGAACAGGTGTCTTAATTAACACCATTATTCCTTTGCTGCCTTGTTGGCCTATTTCCAACTGCGGAATAAAGAAGGAGTGATTGTTCAAACAATAAACAGATCTTCAACTAACACATACAGAATAGCAGGAATGAAAAATGTTATCTTGCTTTGTTGAACTTAGCATTGATTTGTTTAGTTATATGGCATCTTGTGTCCCGCCAATCCTTTTAAAGTGGATTTCATCAAAAGTTTTCAGATGCAAACAGCGTATCTTATGCTAATCGAGACATTCGTTCAACCTCCCTCTTTTTTTATCATTAAACTATCGAAACTTTTTGCATTTTAAAAGGACGTTCATTGACGCTGCGCAGTGAC